GGTGTAGGTGCTGGTGCTGGGGGTCGGGGAATGGCAGGTGCAGGGGAGGTAGCTGATGGACCAATTAATAGCTGCAACCACACTCTCCACGGCAAAGGTGAGGGAGCAGCACTTGACCTCATGCTGGCGGGAGGTTAGTGCCCACTCAGGGAGAAAAACAGAGCTCCCTACTAAAATCACCAACACCATGTGGAGTTCACCCATTAAATTATGGACCCTAACCTACCACGCTTAGGAAACCTGACAGAATCACAGCATAAAGTGCTACAGCTTTCATACTTGTGGAAAGCATTGTAATATGAAAATGTTATAAACTGGGAGTAATGGCCTAATATCTTTAAAAACCTCACTGATTACTTATCGTAGATCTAAACCTAATTAACTTAATGTGGAGTATATACATACATGTACAGGTAATTTTCCATAACAAACACATTCATTGTGTTAATACTGATGTTACTGAAGAACTTGGACACATTCAAAATGTTGTAACTGGGGAATAAAGTTTCAGGCAGGGGTTTTACCACCCCTTCAAGATGGCAGAAGGAGATAATTTCCAACAATGAACAAAGAGTAATATATATGACCATGGTAACCCCCACAGAAATGCCTTTATTTTTAAAATGATGGTATAAATTTCAAGCCATTGCATAAAGTGGCTTCATACATACTGGTAGATTTGTCTGGGCTCTTTCCATACCAATCACAGAGGTGTTTCTATAGTAATTAATGCAGTTCAAAAGGGAAAAATGGGATTGAGATTTTAAAAAAATAATAACAAAGATCAAACAAAATAAATAGCCTAAAAAAATGACCAAGAAAAGATTTTGGTGCAGAAAAGATTTTGTTTCCACTTGTTTGGAATAAGCAGCATTTCTTGGGCATCTAAAAACAACATTTCTCCATCTCTCTAACCAGCTCTAATGTGTTCTTCATTATAGCACACAAAAATTCGCGACGAATTTCATCCATCTATCCATCCAAACAGATAGATAAGGCTATTAATTTCACATCGTTTGTAATACCTTGAGAATTCTTACTTTTTGCATAATTCTAAATAACTGTTTTTGAGGAGCAGGGGTTGGGCAGAAATCTGATTCTGGGCTGCCATTTCGCTTTTTCAAATTTTCACTTCCAAGCACCACAGTGGCTGGCTATCTTTGTCCATTTTGGCTTCAGGATAGAACACTGGAAGTGACAGGCCAGTATGTAGAAAGCTGCAGAAATATGTACACAATATTATACATTTGAGAGGAGAAAAAAAAATAGAATTAGAGAATGTTTAGGGTAGGTCCTTGTAAGGAAGGTCTGCCCCTCCCCACCATCTTTGGTTCTATCCTTCATGAGTTCATGGGGCTGCCAGAAAGTCCCAGTGTCCCCATCGAACTCTGCTTCCTGCCATATATGTTTCATAAATAAGGGGCTGTCTCTGACAGAATGCACAAAATGTGAAATGGAGTCAAGTTGCTTCTTCTAAACCTCCTGGAGCTGAGCCAGAGAAGTTAGAAGCAATAGCATATGACGTTTGACCAGTCACAGTCAACCAACCAACATAGCTCCAAAATGGAAAAGACCATATGAAAATTTACCACTGCCTCCTTTGTGTCTTAAAGTTCAACATTTCACTGACCTGTTTTGATATTTTCTAAGAATTGCTTCAATTTCACAACCATTCAATGAACCTGAAAAGCCAGGGAAATTCAACAATAAAACATTTCTCCGCTTATTTTGCCCAGCTGCAATGGAAAGAGGATTTGATCAAACAAACCCACCAGAATATAAATCCACAATGTATTTTATCTTCCACAGATGTCAAAAGAGAGCAAAAGATGCATCTCATTAGGTAACAGATTGATGGATATGCTACATATTTCATTTAAGGTCCTAAATAATGTGAGGAGAAATACAGAAATTAAATTAACCCAGCCTGCCATGTTCTTTTGTGTCTTGCTTAGGTTGCCTATGATGAATCACAGAACTTTAGGGTTAAAAAAAGAAAAAAACTCTGAATTTCTTAGACACACCATATAAAATGCATTTAACAAAAACTTCTAAGCTTTTCTCACTGAACCTGAATTGACAAGTTCACCTATTTTTCATTCCTTTAGATTTCTCCTCTCACACAGCACACAGGAAAGATACCAGATATTCTTCAGACGGTCTGATTTTTTTAATCAAAGGGAAATTAAAGAAGCAGCAATGATGTACATTCCTTCTGGGGGGAGCAGAAGCTTCATTCCCACCCCCATCTTAAAATAGCCTGATTGAACTACAATATTTGCATTACAATTCTGGGTCAGCAGTACCATGGGATTACATGTGGAAATCAGAGGGATGTTTAGTTTTTATTTTCAGCCTAGTGGATTTTTTTTTACATTATATCCATTCTGCTGCACATTCCTCTTGATATTATTTATCAGTGCAGTTTGGGGGCAATTGTGGAGGTTTACTCCCCTGGATTGCTGAAGTGAGATACAAGGCCTAGAGCAGTGTGTTCATTGGAAGAGAAAATCTTTCCTGCACACAGTGTCAAGTGTCAAAGCAGACAAAACAGTCTATAATCCTTTTCAAACACTGAGTCACATTCTGATCTCATTTCCTCCAACATAAACTAAGAGTATCTCCATTTGCTACACTGGGGTCAAGGTGGATTTTATTCAGTCTAACTGAGCTGATATGCTAGGTCATTGTGACAATTTAAGCAGATGATTTAGAAACATGCTTATGGTGGGTTAAATAATGATACCCCCCCTCAGCTGGGTGTCTAAGTAAACCCGCCTAATACTGCTGGGCAAATTATTCATAATTTATTCAACTCATGTTGCTTTCTTCACCAGTTGGTTGCCAAATTCTTAAATGTATTTGTTAGTCAGAATTCTTGGCTGATTTCTTTAATGGATAATTCTTGGCCTGTTGGTCACTTGTGGGCAGTTTATTGCTCATGATCAGGCTGGAATTGTTCATTACATAGGTTTAGGCGATTTTATATTTTTAATCTAACTTAATGATATTTTTAATCTAACTTAATGATAAGATTTTATATTTTTAATCTAACTTAATGATTTTATATTTTTAATCTAACTTAATCTAACTTAATGATAAATGTCTATCAGGGTCAAGGTCCCTTCCACTCCTCGTACTCTATGATTCTATGATTGGGATGGCTTTAAGTGACCATAGATCTTTTAAAGGGTCTTGTGCATAGGCATGAACTCCATGCTCTGAGCTTAAGTTGATTGTTTATCAGAGCTATATGTTTGTACAGCAGGTAGCACTCTGGGGTCCTGATGCTGCTGGCTTTTACATGCTACCTAAATATAAATGTTAAATAAGTATGAATAGTAAAATGATCCACACACCCCTTCCAGCATACAAGGTACTTCATCTTAGATCCCTGTACTCACCTGTTTGTTGCGCTTGGGTCTAAGAGAGTCCAAGATAAACTTTCTCATTCCTCAGTTTTGGTTTGGTCCAGAATCTCTAAAAAATTTGATTAGTGCAGTTAATCTCTGCTTCTTCTAGTGTGCCACCACTGTTTTATTATGCCTAAAATGGAACCCAGGAAGCAGAGCTCTTCTACCTAACCTGCAACCATCTACGTGTCACTCTAGTAAATGCCAAAGTGCCTAATGGATGCATAGCACACATGGTTCAATACAGGATGATTTACAATTTTTTTTGAGAGAGAGAGAGAGAGAGAGAGAGAGTGATTGAGTGCTGTATCATGCTGAGACCTGAGACAAGAAAGGTACTACCTCACCAGATAACAGTAACAGCATTTCATGTATATTCATGAGGATTCATTAAAAATTTCCCAGCGTGGCTGAGCAAAACAGTGTTTTAAATCCCAAAATTATTAAAGAGAGCGATTGAGTGAGAGAGAGAGAGAAAAAATATTACAAGGATGAACTGAACAATAGCCTGAACAAGCCAGAGACAACAAATAGATTTTTCACTTTTTCACTGTTGTGTCTCTAATGGTAAGAATAAATCAAAAGCCTCATCAAATTCTAAACACTGACTATGAATAGGACACTCTTGAGTACTTTTTATGGTTTAATTTTGTTTCATGTTATTGTTGCTAATATTCACTTAGAAGCATGGAATTAAAATGCTTTTTTGCTATTAGTATAAGAGATTATTTCTTCATTTTTTATGAGACTTGAAATTAATATGTTGTCTTTTTGGGTTATATACCAGCATTATCCTTGGTTCAGCATTAGGAAACATGGTTTGTTAGTTAAATTTCACTCCCTCTGCTGGTTCTGAGGCAGTAAAACACAATATATTGTTTCGTTTAGGTCCTATAAAAATTGTTAACTATGATGTTTATTATTATATTCATTCTCAGTGACAATTTTTAAAATACTACTAGAACCTGAAGGTAAATCTTGTCTCGATTATAGCAGTTTTAAGGTTCCTTGGGCTTGAAAGATTTCCAACTGCTTTTGAGTAGCATTGTTATTAGAGAAGTGCTGTTAGATCCACTTGTAACAGCGCCATCACCACTACTTCTACTACTGATTGGCTCGCTTCTTGCAGAGCGTATACAATTATGTAGGTGAAAGATGGCATTCAGTTTTCTTATAGCTTTCTCTTCCACATGCTTTTTCTGCTTCCATTTCAATTTCAGTTCAGATGCACAATGTAAAGCTGGATAACACACTGTCAGCTGTTTCACTGAAACCTGGTATTTGTTCATTTTTGTTGCTTTCCCCTTAATCTGAAGATAAAAGTAATCTAAATTAAAAATTGCATGTTTTCTTTTTGGTGTATAGAGAAGCAAAGCTGGTTTTAGGGGCAAGTGAGCTGGGTGGAAGCCCGCTCGGGACATGCAGCAATTAAAGGGGCCATGACTGCATTTCAGACTTTTTTTTTTTTGCTTGACAAATTTTGCCTGGCAGTTGCCTGGGGCCACCAATTGGTTAGGACCAGCCCTACAAAGAAGTACAATACAGGTTGTACTTCCCTGGTCCTGCACACATGGGTCCTGACGGGTCCAGAACGAGGAAATCTGCTGGACCAAGAGAGGTTAATGCCAGCCTCTCTGCTGCCACCAGCTGTGGGGCTTTGCTCCTTTGGAGCGAGGTGGTCGTGAGTCAGTACTTGCATAATTGTGATGGGGATGGGGATATCTAGCTACTAGTAGTCAGATTTTCACCAAGGAAAAGAATAAGCTTGGGAGAGATATCAGCCAAGAGCACAATGATCAAGAGGACAAGTGGAACCAAGGATGGAACTGTCAGGACATGACTATGCCCGAAAATTATTTTGAAATAACTAAATTCAAAATAATAACTCCCGAAATTACAAAGTTGAAATAGTGTGTGTCCCCACTGCAGGGAAACCTGGAAATTAGTCCAAGGAAGGCTCCATTATTGTGGACATGCTACCTCAATTTAGAGCCCCAGGAAGCACTGGGGAGCATAGACCAGGGTGGGGATGTGTTAGAGTGCTCAGGAGAGGGCAGAGAAGGTCTGATAGACCCCATCACACAAGCCAATGCAAATATTGATGCTCGAGCTATGAATTACTACCCATTGGCTTAGAACCCACATGCCATATGGACACCACCAGGAAGTAGAGCAAGATAATCTGCAATAGAGCAATGGATGTCTTCTTGGGAGCTTGCCAAAGTTGCCCTGAGAGGATGATTATGATAATGAATAACAGACCCAATGTGCCCTGACTGCAAGCCTGACACACATGACATTTGGGAGCATATAAAGAGGAGTCCTTGCCTTATTAAAAAATGGAGAAGTCTCACATGATGAAAGAGAAGCTGCTATAAGGAATCTGCTAGGGTAAAAACTGGCAATTCAGCCTCCTAACATACACCATCAGAGTTTACTTGTCCTCGGGATTTGAGGCTGGGTGGCTTATTGATGTATTGATTGATTTATTAAAATAAGAATTGCTAGTATTATATTTTACTTTACTAAAGAGAGAGAAATAATATAATAATAATTATTGTTATTTACTTTTTAAAAAGATATATATTTATTATTGTTTGCTTTGAAATGGAGAGAAATAATTATTATTATTATTTATTTGCAATGAAAATAATAATAATAATAATAATTCCTATTGAGGCTCCAGAATATGGAATAATAGTGGAGTTGATTGGCTGCTGTGCTAATGATACAGTGGGCGTCATGTCGTCTCCACTATGTAGTGAGTTGTTAAAGGCACT